TCCCCTCGGGAGCGCCCAGGCTAAGCGCATGTGTGCCGGGTTGCATCTGCTCAGTAAATATCTACTATTTTCATTGAACGAACCTGTCGGAGTTGCTTCTTGTAAGCACGTGTTTCTTGAAGAGGAAAAATTAGCATTCAGATCCCGAGAGCTGAAGAAGGGGGAGGGGAGAAGGCCATCACCCTGTTCCATTCTGAAAGGCTCGCTTCGGTGAAGGGTTCTTACTACCAATCCCATGAAGCCCCAGGCCTTCCCAGCCTCTAGTTAAAGGCGCCCTCACCGTGGAGCATCACGGGATTGTAGTCCTCACTATGTTCCCGTTCTGGCGGGGGCGGGTGCAGCCACAACAAGCGTTGGAGGCGACAGGTCGCGACAACAGCGACAGGTGGCAGTGTGTGTGTAAGGGGGGGGGGGAACTTTCCTGGAAGCGGTAAAGGATTTCTGAACCTTGTGCTAAGAAAGTGGTTTCCATTCTTGCGGACCTCCTCTGTTCTCCCCGTGGGATTCTAGGACCCCTGGGTCCTTCATCAAGGCGGAGCTTGAACAACTCCCCCCACCAAGGTTGGGGGAAGCGGTGCTGCTCCTCCTCCGGCGATGATGTCACTCACCCCTCCGCAATCGCTTGCTGCCTAGCGCTGCCAAGGCTGGGTCACCCCTCCCCCCCTTCGCAAGCCTGGGATCCCCCATCCCTGCCTCGCCTGGACCTGGAGTGAGTATGGGGGAGGGAGCTGAGGCTCAGGTCCCTGGGTGGCAAGGCACCCCAAATCCCAATTTGGGAGACTGGGACTCAAAGATTACGTCGGAGAGGTCCCCCTACATTCTGAGCTTTGAGGGCTGAGATACTGGAAGGTCCCAGGGAACTCAGGCAGAGAGTCCTCATATTTTCGATTGTAGTGAAACTCCCCTTCCGGCTTAGAACTGATGGGCATGGGGTGGAGGAACAGTAGAAATTCAGGATGGGGAGGTAGCCCTTCTCCTCGGGAGGGCTCGGGAGGGGAGGGAGGAGGGAGTGTAGAGGACTATGGACTTCATGTTCGGAGCTCTTAGACTCTTGAGTGTCCGGGGAAAGGATGGATTGGGGAAGGGAAGGCTCTGAAGAGGTGGACAGCCATTCGCCTCTTCTGGTGTCTTGTCAAATATGGAGTCTGTTCCCTCTGGCTCCTGAGTAGAGCTGGGTGTCCGGTAGTCTGAGCCCCAGCTTCTCCCTGCAAACCCCACTGGTTTTGATGGAGGGATGGACGATCCAGGCTCTAAACCCTTTTGCCATGTACCCCCATCCAGGCCATGGCATCCACAGTCCCCAGAACTGAGGAGTCTGGACCATCCTTGACTTACCTCCTGCCGGAGGCCTCTCCTTTGTCTCTCCAGGCCTCAACCCGTGTCTCACCCAGGCTCACCCTTTTCCAGCTCCCTCTCCACACCAGCCCCCACCTTCTCCCACACCTTCTGACCTCTGCCAAAAATGCTGATTTGGTAACTGCATCCCGTGCCTGTACCTGACTGCTGTCAAAAGCAGAAAGTAGGGGCAGGGGGTGGGGTGTAAGCAGCATGGTGACTTAGGTCCTTACCCCAGCCCCTACTACTAGCTCCTATAGCCTACCTGACACCCTCCCCTCCGCCCCCTGTTCAGTCCACGTGAGGCTTCCACTGGCCCTGGAGCCTTCCTCAACATCCACACTGCCCCTCACCTCAGGATTACTTCTGTCCGGGGATCACAGCAGAATTTGGGGGTTGAGAGGGGCAGAAATTACCAAACTCTTTTCTCTGCATTGGTGGGTACTTTTAGGGACAGTGGAAGAGCCCAGGGCCTGGGGAGTGAGGGAACTTACTCCTTGGTCTGTAGGATGGACCTCACTTCTGCAGCTCTCTGCAGTGACGCAGCCTCCTTTCCTGCCAGGATAGGGCCCGGGGGGGGGTGCGGGGGGCAGAGGCTGAGAGAATGGGACAGAGACCCAGGGAAAGGGGAGACTCGGAAAAAGAGGCTCAGAGGCGTGGGACAATAGGGAAGAGAAACCCAAGAGAGGACAGATATAGAAAGAATAAGAAAAGGAGACAGAAAAAGTGCGTAGAGATACTCTGAAAAGGGTGACAGAGAAGAGACCCAGTGAGAGGGGGACAGAGATCTGGAGAGAGGATGAAAGACCCGGGGGGGGGGGCCCGAGCCGAGAGGCTCACCCCTCCCAGTGGGGCAGAGACTAGGAGAAAGGGACTGGGGGAAGTGTGCAGAGCCACGGCTGGGGGAGGGGAAATTGGTCCAGGACCTGAAGGACGGTGACAGATTGAGACACCCAGAGACAGACAGGGAACAGAGCCAGAAACTCCAAGAAGTGGGGGCCAAGGCGATGGGACAGATTGGGGGGAGGGAGAGAACCATGAGGGGCTATGGGATGGGAAGGTGATGGGAAGCGGCAGCCGCACCTGCAAAAGGGGGTGGCCGGCCAGGTGCAGCGGGAGGCGGCGGGACGATGCCCGCAGCCCCCTGACCCGCCCCCTTCGCTCCCACAGGCGCCTCCTCCCACCGCAGCCCGGGCCGCCGCTGCAGGCCCTGCCCAGCCTTGCGCCTGCGCAGTTTCCCAGCGCCTAAGTCCACCCTCCTGGAGGCGGGGCCTGCGGGTTCAGAGGCGGTCCCCTCGTCTGGCTCCGCCTCCAACTCGCCACTGCCCCGCCCCCTCCCGGCCTCCTGGACACTTAACCCCGCCCCACTCTCCATTCCAGCCGGTGGATGCTCCGGTAACTCTGCCTGCCTGTCTCCTCTAGTCACCCCTCACCAGCATTCACCCCTGCCTTGTTCCTCCAATCTGCCTTGTCCGGGCTTTGTTCCATTTCCTCTGTCTATCCTAAGACTTCGCTGGTCATAGGGCTCGGTTCCAGCCTTCCTTCCGTCCCAGGTCCTTACCCTCCATCCAGCACAGTAGGTTTCTTCTTCATGCAGAGCCTCTAGGACTCAGCCCTTCCCCCTACCGCTTCCCATCAAGGGACGGACCCATCTCCACTTCCCGCCCTGGCTCAGACCCTCTCCCTCACGGCCCCGGCCCGACCAACACTTTTTTCCCCCTCTCTGGCCATCCAGCCAAAGTAAACCCAGCCCGAGCCCCTCCATCTGCCTCGGCCCCTCCACCTGCCCTGCTCCACACTGGGTCCTGTCTGCTGGGGCTTTAGGTCCCGGCTATTGATCTGTCTTGTTTCTTTCTGCACCTTCTCAACCCAACCAAATTGGCTTCTTCCATTGTTGTCCCACCCTTCCCGGCCAGTTGGGATACCCCTTTTTTAGGCTCTATCAGGTCTCTCCTACCTTACCCCGCTTTCTCTGTCCTGCTGGTAGCGCTGAGCCAGGCAAACCTCAGCATTCCTTAGGCGCCCCGCCCCTCCGTTCTGTTCTCTCAAAGATCCAATCAATAAGCTTAGTTGTGGCCCCGCCCAGTCCCAGCCCCTCATCTCCTGGATTTAGCCCCGCCCACATCTCAGACAAATCAGTTCAGAGCCTCCCACAGAGGCCACACCCTCTACACGCTAGCTCCTCCCCCATCCAATCGTGCCTATCTTCTCCCCCCACTGGCCCGCCCCCTCCATCCGTCGTCTCCTCCCACCCAATCAGGTCTGTCCGTCCCCCTGGACCCCGCCCCC